TGCCCACCCCAAGGAATGTTCTAAACAAGCGACCACCAAATCAGACTATACCCCATACATCCTGTCATCCAAATCGTGCCAACATTCCGAGCATAAGAAAATGTGTAATAAAGCGAGTAAAATCAAAAGAAATCACTGAATTTCATTGACTTTTAACAAACTTTGCAATCTACATCGTCGAGCTCTCAGGCTTCTTAAAAAAACAAAACAAAAAAATTTCAAACATAATATTTTTTCAAATTAGCTATGTTCCATGACCTGGCAAGTGATCGGCCTTCGGGCGTCTTTGAGTGAGTACGCTCCTCCTGCGTGCACTCGCTCGACCAGGTATGGTCCTTCCCAATTTGGCTCCAGCTTTCCCACATGCTTGAGTACATCGACGCGCTTCCAAACCAGGTCACCGACCTGGAGTCTGCGAATTTTCACCTTTTTGTCATGAGCGGCTCGCATCCTCTGCTTGTACGCCTCCACTCTGATTGCTGCTTTCCCACGCAGCTCCTCGATAGTATCTAAGGCTACCATCATCAGGTCCTCGTTCTGTTCAGCATTATACGTGCTCGACCTCTGGGAGTAATGCTTCCATTCCATAAGCTAAACTGAACGGGGTTTCTCCTGTGGTCGACCTTGGAGTTGTGCGGTATGCCCAAAGTACAGAGCTCAACTCATCGACCCATGCTCCCGAGGCCTTCTCCAACCTTGTCTTCAGCCCATTCAGTATAATTCGATTAGTTACCTCGACCTGGCCGTTAGCTTGCGGATGCGCCATGGAGGCAAAGTGTTGCTCGTTTTTCATATTTTCACACCATGCTCGAATCCGTTTCCTATTGAACTGTGTGCCGTTATCAGAAATCAACACTTTGGGCATACCAAACCGACAGCAAATGTTATCGTACATGAATTTAATCACTTTCTCCTCTGTAATCTTTGCTAAGGGCTCGGCCTCCACCCACTTCGTGAAATAATCGACCGCCACTATTAAGAACTTCCTCTGCCCGGTCCCCTAAGGCCTCGGCCCCACCAGGTCGATACCCCACTGGGCGAATGGTATATGAGCACTCATCGTTGTCATGGCTTCGGCCGGTTGGTGGATAAGGGGGTCGTGCTTTTGGCATTGCAAACACTTTTTCACCATCGTCTTCGCATCTTCTCTCATTGTTGGCAAAAAATATCCTGCCCTCAAAATTTTCGCGACCAAGGCTCCTCACTTACTATGGTCGCTGCAACACCCTTCGTGCATCTCCCTCAACACATATCGACCCTCTTCCTTAGTAACACAGCGCAGATGTGGTCCTCCATAAGATCGCTTGTAAAGAATGCCTCCATGCTCAAAAAACCTCCTAACCACCTTTATCGCTCCTCCCCTCAGCTCCTCCAAGATCGGGGCCCTCCAATCCTCCACCTCTTCGATCTCTGCCACTTCTGCTTCAATCACACTCTTTTCAAGATGCAACAGAGTGACACTTCTACTCTTGCAATCGACCAAGCTCTGAGCAATCTTCGACAATAGGTCTGCTCGACCATTCTCTCCTCGAGGAATTTGTATTAGCTCGAACGAGTCAAACTCCTCTCTCAGCTTCTTCATCTCATCCACATATTTCTGCATCCGATCCTCCTTGACTTCAAATCCTTCTTGAAACTGCCCAACCACCAGTTGAGAATCGGAATGCACTTGAAATTTTCGAGCTCCTCCTGCTTTGGCTAGGCTCAAGCCCTTAATCACTGCCTCGTACTCAGCTTCATTATTGGATATCTTGAACCCCACTTTAGCCGCAAATTCCAAGTAATCACCTTTGGGGGAGACAAGAACGATTCCCAATCTTGCCCCGCTTCGGGCCACAGATCCATCTACAAACAACTGCCATAATCCCTCTGACT